CCAAAAAAAAAAAAAAAAAATGCTGCCATGAAGGGGCTGGCCTAGTGTACCCACACCCACTGACCATATCTGGCAGCAGGTAGGCCCCTTAGGGTTGCAAAGTACTCTGAAGACATTTGAATTAGTGGCCAAATCTAAACAATGGGCATGTAAAAAAAATCTGAAAACTCAGAAATTTGGACAACCAGGGGCCCAGTTCCAGTCTGGTCCCAACTGTTGGAGCTAGACCTGACTTGCCAGCTGTTAGGGTCCCTGGGGCCCCCTCCCCCAGGTCTGCTCTGCCCATGGGTCATTCCCTGCCTCGCCTTGGTAGGCTCTGGAGTTCATGTCCCTCCCCTACAGAATGGCCATGGTCCTCCCAGCTCCAGGCATCTTGGATGTCAACCAATTGGTGGGTCTAGATAGGCACACCCCTGCTCTCACAGCTTTCTGCCTCGCTCTGTCTGGAAGCCTGACATGCTCCATGCAAATTCCCCATTCCTGCTTCCTCAAACCTCATACCAATGTCATCTCCTCAGAGAGGCCTTTCCTGACCACCACTCTTTCTCTACATCCTGAATTATTTTCGTCACATCACTTTCCATGACCTGAAATTCTTCTGTTTATTGGGTGCTCCCTGCCTGTCTCCCTTTGTAGAATGTGTGTTCCAGGAGAGCAAGGGCTGCATTCATCTTCTTCATGGCTGTCTCGCCTGTGTCTGGAACAGGTCCTGAGAAATATTCGGATGCATTTGAATAAAATGAATGGACAGGGATACATTCTGCAGAGGACCCCAAAGGTATGTAGCAGGCTCTCTCATGCCTCGTGTCATCACACTCACACTTCTAAAGGGAAGGGAAGGCGGGAAAAAGAGGTCTTAACTTGCACTCATCTAGGATTAATTTTTGAGGGTTTTCTTACAGTTGAATTATACCTGCATTTCATTTCCCTTTATTTATTTTGTTCACTTTTGATGACCTTGGATGACTAACTGAAACACGTTCACGGAGAAAAGGGAGAGACGATAGCTTCCACGATCTCAATGCCCTACACATCATTTATTCAGCAGCATCCTTTTTTCTAGAAGGGCTATCATCATCAGGCAGCAGCTCTCTAGCAATTATAACATAACATGCAAGCTGGCCATCACTCTTACACTCTCAAGTCTCATTTCACTGGGACAATAGGAGAGACTAGACTACTTTAAGGTAGGAATCCTAACCAGGAAGCTACTTTTGCTTTAACTTGCTCTGCACAGAGGAAACCGACAAGGCGCAGAGATACTCACTAATTTCTATAAAGAGTTCATTTATGTTTATCGCGTTTTTTGCGCTGGTCTCTACAAAAATTGCATGAATGGAGTCGGCGTAGTCCTTAGCATCTCTCTCCATGACTTCTCTGGAAGGCAACAATTGAAAATCAGAAATTCTACCCATTAAGGACCCAGTGTTCTTCCCACCTACCCAGTAATTAACCAGATTTCTGATGACAACAAATGCTGCGAATGGCTGCCGTAGGAGCCCTGACATGTGGTCCTCACCATTTCACCAATTCTATGGTTTAACAAAACAGAACAACACTCAGTACCACCAGCAATGTAGCTAATGGGATGGTCAGGGAATGGCGAGACAGGGCTTTCTTCCCCACCCAATTAAAAAAAAGAGTCCTCATTTTGGGAGTCGTGGAAATGGCCCAGAGAAACTGCCAATAAATGTGCTTCCGCATACCAGTATTCTGTCATGGGTGCCTGGGGGCTGCACTGATCTCAGATAATGTCAAGTGCGATGCAGCAGTGTTTACATAAATTATACACCTGTCTAAATACATAATATAATTAGTTCCAAATGCCTGAAATCTTAATTTTAGTTTGAAACTTCAGTACTACACAATCAAAAGGAATTTTTCAATGTCAGAGACAAAAGCAAAATTCTTAGACTGGATATTGCTCATTAAGAAAAGGAACACATAATCGGCATTGTCATCTCTCGTTCTAATACCTTACCTTACATCGATAAGATCACACTTATTTCCTGCAATGGCAACTACAATATTAGGTGGGCCATGCTGTCGAAGCTCTTTGACCCAATTCTTTAATGTTGAAAATGTCTCCTGTAACACAAGAGAGACAGAGCAACTAGAGGTCTAAGTAACTAAAAGAGAGCTTCCAAAGAGTCTAAACAAAACAGTGTGCATCTTACTTCTTTTGTGATATCATAAACGATGATAGCAGCAGCCGACCCTCGATAGTACATTGGTGCTAAGGCACGGAACTGCAGAGGGGAGGAAAGAAACAACAAAATGGAGAAAATGGGTTAAGTATGTTTTTTTTTACTAGACTTTTAAGCCCATTATCACAAAAGGTAATCGTTCTCTTAAGTCAAAGAAGATGACATGATGCTTTAAAGCAAATGAACCAGTAATTACCAAAGGCAAAAACTTTTAATGTAACACTGCAATGTCTCTCAGAAGATAGCTTAGAATACAGTTTTATAGGAATTAAATATGGTGCTATAAACAATTGTTTCAGCTAAAAAGGCTTTTTAATTGAACTCAATGTTATAATTCCCAAATTCATTTGTTCAATCGTCCTTTAAACTTTGGCTTCCCAAACTATCATGGAGATGAAAATAATGCGGTAAATAGTTCTCAAGAGAAGTGGTTGTATTTGGGTGTCATAAAGATAACCCTGTAATCTAATACTGATTGTCCTTCAGAAATGAGTACACATTTACAGTTACTACTTGGATGAGTTTGCAACTTGCTTTTTTGACATCTTCATGCACGTGGCAATTCCCACATGCTGTGCGCAGACCTCATTTCATTTACATGAACTTAACTCTGTGCATGGCTTCTTCCCATCCGTCACCTTCACCGTCACCTGCCCTCCCCCACCCTGACAGGTACAATAGGGAGGGAAGAGAAGGAAAGGAAAGGAGTAACATTTAAATAGGAAGGGTGATCTAGCCACTCATTTCTCATCAGGAGTATAAGATGGAAGACGCGCAGCTCTTTCCTGGTCAACCCTGATTCCTAGGCAATATCTCACCCACCCAATGTGAAGCCAACATATACAGAATTCTGCCTGTAACTGATCTTCATCTTACATCCTGACTGTGAAGCCTGAACCCCACATATGATGCGATGCCACTGTGCTCATATCCTGCTGTTTCTGGTGGCTCACCTCCAAACACAGCCAGGAATTACAGGGGAGAAGCTGGAGCACATACATAATCCATATACAGAACTATGAATTATTCTCATCCAATGAGTTTAATATTTTGGGTTTTAAACTTTCATATTAACTTGAGTTTTGCAAAAGAAAGTGAATTATGGGAGAAAGGTGCGGTTGCTCATGCCTGTAATCCAAGTTACCTGGGATGCTGAGGTGCAAGGACTGCTTGAGGCCAGAAGTTTGAGTCCAGCCTGGGGCTTAACCCCAGGCACACTGCAGGTAATCAAGAATTGGTTAACAAATGAATAAGACCTGTGTAAGTAAGTATGGGTGTCTGTTAAACTCACTGCTGGACCTCAATTTTCCATATACAGAAATTTACCAGTCTTGGTGAGAAAAACCCCTGCCTCTGAAGTCTGCCACCTTCCAATGAAATTATACATTATGTTTTAGAGAGAAAAGAACAAAAATAAAAGTTGTAAGCAAGAAAGCATTACAGACAACTACATTATTGGGTAAAAAAGATGTAAAATCTTTGAAGTGACTTCCACAGTTTAAGGGAAAATGGGACGGAAGTACACAGATGGGAGGCTGGGTGCGGTGGCTCACCCCTGTAATTCTAGCACTCTAGGAGGCTGAGATGGGAGGACTCCTTGAGGCCAGGAGTTCAAAAAGTGCGCAGATGTAACAAAGGTTATGGTGCTACATACCTCATTGCTGAATATCACTGTGGTCACCTTCAAAGTCCTCCCCTTGGAAAGCCATGCACTGATGCCAGTGCCTAGTCCACCTGTCAAAGCAATTTTGGAACGCTTTTTCCGGAACGGCCAACAGAGCTGTCATCACAAGAATGTCAGAGTTTGAATGGACAAACATTAAATTTCTAGTTAAATTTGGTAAGAGTGGAAGTGAAATCAGGGACCTATTAGTCCAAGTTTATGGGGATAATGCCATGAAGAAAATGGCAGCATGCAAATGGATTAAACATTTTTCTGAGGGGAGAGAAGACAGCACTGAGGAAGATAGGTCAGGACGTCCAGTAATGAGCAGAATTGACAAAAACGTTGCAAAAATTTGCCGAATTTTTTGTGCATCAAAATCATTGGCTGACTGTGAGAAGCACAGCAGACTAAACAAATATTGAAACAGTCAGGAAACTCTTGACTGAAAAATTTTGGCATGAGAAAGGTGTTTGCAAAATGGTCCCAAAGGAGCTCTTGCATCACAACAACGCACCTGCTCATACAGCACTATCTGTGAGGGAGTTTTTAACCAGTAAACAAATAACTGTATTGGAACACCCTCCCTACTCATCTGATCTGACCTCCAGTGATTTTTTTCTTTATCCGAAGATAAAAGAAACATTGAAAGGAAGACTTTTTTTGACATTCAGGACATCAAGGGTAATACAACGACAGCTCTGATGGTCATTCCACAAAAAGTGTTCCAAAATTGCTTTGATGGGGGCAGATTCTGGCTTCTGTTACTGTCTACCCTAGCTGTAGATGGGTAAGCCACTAAACTTTTTCCTGATTTTATTTTTTATTTTTTTATTTTTTCCTGATTTTAAACATGAGAACAATTCCTTACACGACTACTGTGATGATAAATGAGTTTGTGCTTTCTTGGTGTTCTGATCTCTGTGGTAATAAACAGTCATCAGCAGAAACCACATTAAGACGTAGAAATATACATCTTTAAGGACTGGACGCAATTTCTATTAGACTCTGGTTAATGAAGCTTTCTTTTATATCCCACATGCAGATGGTCAGTATTTGGAATGTTTTTGCTACATTTGTAGTGTACTGGTGGTGTTTATTCATGTATGTGCTGTGCTTATCATCCTACTGCTGCAGGAGTCTTTGTTAGTAAAGGATACTTGGTGGAAAAAGGTAACTTAAAATGAATTCATTCAGAATAGCAAATAACAGAGACAAAGGTCTCACAAAGGTTCTATCTTGAGATAAATTTAAATCATGAAAACAAGTTTCATTTTTACATAGTATTTGAAAAAACTTTGTTATTGCAGCCAGGAACTAATTTTTTGAATGAACACTAAAGTTGATAACTTGGATATGATTCTTCTGATACAACTACATGCTAGCACAATATGATATCCTTCATTTCATGTGTTACTTTCATATAGTCTTATCATCAAAATGACAATTTTTACAAAAATCTTTGAGGGCTCCATCAGTTTTCCCTAGGCCTCTCTTAACCCTTTGATACACATATCTTTATTTTCTAAAGCACTTAGTCATCATCCTGATCAGTATTTTTCCTTTCCATGTACATTTACGAGATCCCAACCGTCAAGGGCTTCACATGACATTTGAGAATTTCTCCAAAAGCTCTTTTATCAATTTAATGAAATCACTTTGTAACTGGGCCATCAGAAAGACAATCTACCTGTCAGAACTATGTGTGGCAACAGATGTCAAATGGAAAGAATGTCTGGATGGTCAGTTCATCAAACAAGGTTTTCATTTTATAATGACTTTTGGGTCCATAGTTGGTTACAGTTACAGAGAACTAAATAATAAACATGCAACAACAGAAATGTGTAATTTGAGTATCTGTAATTAAACCATGAGTTACTACTGAGAGAAGTAACATGATAAAAGTAAGAGGAGGCTCTGTCCTTATATGTGCCTAAGTAGGGCCAGCATTCAGTTAATATAAATCCGCTGGCATCAACACCATGTGCCAGGGACTGAGGGCAGAGGGATAAAGACAGTCCCTGCCCCCAAGGAGCTCAGTCTAATGGAAGGCAGACAAGGAAGGAAGACAGGTGACAGTCCTACAGATGAGGGCAAAGACTGTCCAGATTGAAAAAAAAAAATCCCAAAGAGTTCATCTGCTGATTCACTCAATCAGTATCTGAACATCAGCTCTATATCAGGCACAGTGCCAGGTCCTGGAAATACAGTAGTGAATGGGACACCAGGTCCCAGCTCTCAAGTTTAGTCTGGTGGGAGAGACCATCAATGAAGGCAAGCAGACAGACCTCTAATTACAGCTTGTAACACATGAACTGAGGAAATGAGAAAGGGCAGTGATGAAGAATGAATGGGGGGGCCTAGCTGAGGGCAAGGGGCCAGGGAGAACTCCAAGGGGGTGACATTAAACCTAAGATCAAAAGGTCAGGAAGGAGCCACTGGCCATGCTCTGAGAGAAAGGAAGAGAGAGTTCCAGTGAGAATGAGCAGTGTGTGTGAAGGTCTGAGGGCAATGAGTGCCAGAGACCTGAGAATGAAGAGGCTGGGGGAGATCACATGGGGCTTTGCAGGTCTCTGTTCAGAATGTAGCTATGTTGATAGGAGCAGAGGGAAGTCACTGAAGTGTATTTTTTGTTTTTGAGTTGGGAGTCTCTATTGCTGGATGGCACTGGCCTGATCTTAGCTTACCACAACCTCCTGGGCTCAAGCCATCCTTCTGTCTAGTAAATGAGACTAGAGGTGTGTGCCACCACGTCCAGCTAGTTTTTTAATTTTATTTAATTTTAATTTTATTTTTGAGTTGGAGTCTCACTCTGTTGACCACTGTGGAGTGCAGTGGCATACTCCTGGCCACCGCAGCCTCGACCTGCTGGGTTCCAGCGATCCTTCTGCCTCAGTCTTCCATGTAGCTGGAACTACAGGTACACACTACCATGCCCGGCTAATATTTTTGATTTATTGCAGCGATGAGGTCTCACCAAGTTGCCTGGGTGGGTCTCGAACCCACAGATTCAGGCAATCCACTAGCCTCGGCCTCCCAAAGTGCTGGGATTATAGGCTAAGTCACCGACCCCAGCCAAGTTTTTTATTTTTTGTATGTTGCACAGGCTGGTATTGAACTCCTGGGCACAAGTAATTTTCCTGCCTCAGCCTCCCAAAGCCCTGCTGTCTGAAGGGAATCAAGCAGGATGATAATAAGGTCTGATGTGTGTTTTCAAAAGATTCCTCTGGGTTCTGAGGGAAGTGCCATGGTGGGAGAAAAGCAGGGGGACCAGTGAGAAGGCAGAAATACACAGTAGAGGTAGAGGTGGCTGAGAGCAGGTACTGCTAGTGGCCACGGAGAAGTAAATGCACTTGAGAAAACAGGGCAGTCAGGACATCCTGATGGAGTTAAGTGTGGGGCGCTAAGGGTGAAGAGGGATCCACGATGATCTGGACTTGGTTTGAGCAGCCTGGGTGTTGGCAATGTACTCATCTGAGAACAGCAGGAATGGCAGGAAAGCCCCCTCAGTGGGTTCTGAAGGCTGAATCGGGTTTTCCGGGCAAAAGGTGGAGGAAGGGCATGCGGGGACCACTGCAGTATGGCATGTAGGAGAACTACATGCAGTTTGGTAATAGAGGACAGGTTGGTGGGAGGAGGCGAAAATGAAGTCTGGTTGTGGTTGGCACATTCAGGGCCTTGAATGCCTTGCCCAGGATAAACCAGCAGTCCCTGACCCAGAACATGCTCATAGTGGCAGCTCATGTGATCCTCCAGGGATTTCAAACACGTGATGTGCACTGTCAGATGCTGAGCTTAATCACTGTCACCTGGCAAGCATGGACGTGTGCTCTTGCCCATCAACGACTGGTTGAGGGAGTGCTCGCCAGGTGGTGCTCCTCTCCTGTCTTCTCCATGCAGCGTCTCCTGGTCAGCGCCCTGGTCTGGGCCTGGCCCATGAGCGTCTCCTGTGCTGCTCTGGGCTGCATGATGGTGCTTCAGGTAGGGTGGAGGTAGGTCCGCATCTCACAGAAACTATTCCTATCTCAGAACCAATCAGAAGTGCGCAAGCAAGAGGCAGAGGGCTAAATCACAAAACTTCATAGACTCTTGCTGTCATGCTAGCACAAAGGGAGAAGCATACACCCTTGTGTTATTCTTTGACATTTTTGAGTCAGGGTCTCACATCATCACCCAGGCTGGAGTGTAGTGGCACAATCACAGCTCACTGCAGCCTCAAGCTCCTGGGCTCACAGGATCCTCCTGCCTCAGCCTCCCAAGTAGCTGGGACTACAGGTGCATGCCACCATGCCTGGCTATTTTTTTTCTGTAGAGATGACATCTTGTCTAGGCTTGTCTCAAACTCCTGGGCTCAAGCAATTCTCTCGCCTCAAGCTCCCAAAGTGCTAAGATTACAGGTGTGAGCCACCACGTCTGGCCTGTGTTATCCTTTTTTCATGTTTCAGAAAAAAAGAGGTGTTATACATCACCATGTATACCAAGACAGGTTCTGACTGAAAGCATAATGGAATCTATTATAGCAAGATTCTTTATGATGAGGTCTTTGCTGTATCATCAAATACATGTGAAGGTAATTGAAGCTTGGGATATAGTGGATAGGTATATGCACTACATATAAACATGAGTTTGTGGCTAACAGAACAGAGCCCAGGGCTGTGTCTGGAGATATATTCAGGAGGACTCTGGGTAAGAGACACTTTTGGAGGATGGAAGAGGGATGCTTAGCAAAGGTCTAGCTGCTCTAAATGCTCCTTTTTTTTTTTTTTTTGAGTTGGAGTCTCACTCTGTCACTCAGACTGGAGTGCAGGGGCCGCTCCCGGCCACTGTAGCCTCAACCTGCTGGGTTCCGGCGATCCTTCTGCCTCAGTCTTCCAAATAGCTGGAACTACAGGCATGTGCTACTACATCCGGCTGATTTTTGATTTATTGTAGAGATGAGGTCTCGCCAAGTTGCCCAGGCAGGTCTCGAACCCGTGGGCTCAGGCAATCCGCTCACCTCGGCCTCCCAAAGCACTGGGATTACAGGCTGAGCCACCGAGCCCGGCCAAATGCTCCATTCTTGATGTGCCACACAAACAAAGGAGAAGCAGTGGGGAATGGAAGATGGAAAGGAGAGCGTCTCAGACGAATAACTAACTGGATAGGTGTGCAAAATCAGTGTCAGAAAATGAAGAAATCAAACAGAACAGACTTCAGATGTAAAATCTGTACACATGTACGGTGTCTATGTCTAGGACAACAGTAATGGTTTGTTTTGTTTTCCTGCGTTCGTCTGTGATGATTCTTGTCAGATTTTATACCACACACAAGTATCTATGTTGTCTTAGATAAGACTGTGATGACAGACTATTTTTCCTGATTACTCTTGGTATACTTTTAAGAGCTTAAGACAGCACTATGCATCAATCAGATGTGCTGTTTGGATAGTACTGGTTGAAAACAAAATTAAACGGCAGATGAATAATGGGTGGCTGCCAGAGGCACCTTGGCAGGGAAATTGGCCTCAGCACCCAGAGGGAAGATGAGGCAGTAGGCATGTCCGTTCCCCTCCATGGTGGCCAGGCTCCATTTCTGGTTCAAGCTCTTCCTTAAGCAGATAACCATCATGGTCAATTTTATCAGCAGGCATTTATTAAGTATCTATTTTAAGATACTGTATTAGCTCATCCTTTTCACTTAAATCTCAAACTTTATATGCTGTAAAGTTCCCTCTTTAGCTTTTATTTTATTTTACTTTTTTTTTGAGTTGGAGTCTCACTCTGTCGCCCAGACTGGAGTGCAGTGGCCACTCCCGGCCACCGCAGCCTCGACCTGCTGGGCTCCGGCGATCCTTCTACCTCAGCCTTCCAAGTAGCCGGAACTACAAGCATGCGCTACCACGCCCAGCTGATTTTTGTATTTATCGTAGAGGTGAGGTCTCGCCACCCAGGCGGGTCTCAAGCCCGCGGGCTCAGGCAATCCATTCACCTCAGCCTCCCAAAGACGTGGGATTACAGGCTGAGCCACAGAGCCCGGCCCCTCTTTAGCTTTTAAATGGCAGCTATAAGTGAGCTGTGCCTAATTCTCCCTTTCTATCACTAATTCTTTTACATGTCTTTAGTAGAGGATGGAGCCCCAAATTATACACAATGCTCTGAGCAGAATTTTATCACGCCTATTAGTCAGCATTTACATTAAGACATTAAGAAGTATAAAAACGCCCTTAGTGCCCGTCATCACTTTCCCCATCAGTGGACTCTGTGGCTCTAATTGAAAAGAAAAAGGCCAGCCTACGCAAGTGGAGATCAGTATGTCTCCAGCACACAGAAGAGAAGTGAGTAACACGAGGTGACAGGAATGGTGACAGTGTAATTGGCACTTTCATTTGGGCCTCAGAAAAACAGAGTAAATTAAACAGTGACTTACTCGTTCTTGTCCAGCTGTATCCCAGATTAGGAATTTATGTAGCTCATTTTGGTACTGGACAGTCTTGGTCATAAAAGATGCCCTATAAAGAGAGACCTAAATGATCAGAATACAATTATGTAAAGCATGTCCAGCCCTAGTTGGAACATCACTTAGACTTAATGCTCAGCCTCCCAGCTCCATACTATACCCTAATTGTGTTCTTCTCCAGAGTATTTATGGGATGCTCAGAGGCTGGCTGCATATTCAGTCAAAATAAAGCATGAGGCACATCTGCCCAACACAAAGAAGGAGGAACTCTTTGGTGTCTGATAGCCTCAGCTCTGTATCAAAAGGACCAAGAGCTGGTTTGGAAATCCAAACATTAGCCTCCACTGTCAAACACAGAAGCTTCTATTTAAAAAGATGTTATCATGGGAAACGTTTCTTAAAAAGTGTCCAGGAGGTGTATGTATTACTAAAAAAAATATTAGGTCATTTGGGTTTGTCCTCAATTCCCAAACTACATGCCCATATAAATAGCTGGGTAAGAACTAGTGTTAAGGCCAGAGTTAATAAAATTAAGATGCTAAACAAGGAGCAGAAACAGCTGGAGAAGTAATGGCTGCACCAAGGTGACCCGATGTGCCATCAGTGCCCTGATGACTCTGTGTTTCACTGACAACAAAGGCTTCTCAGTTGAGGTTCAGCGTCAGACCTCAGGGCCTCATCCAACCCTTGATGGGGAAAGGAATCATGGTCCACAGGTCACATCGCTCACTCTGAGGGCTTTGACAGCAAGGTTCTTATTATTTTGGGGGTTCCATATTTTTGGAGGATTTTGAGTGAGACTTCACAGCCTGCATATTCTCTGAGAAGCCATGTCTGGACACTCTCAAAGCTCTAGGACTTGGGTTCAGGCGTCCAGCCCTGGGAATAGGCCTAGCTCCAAAACTACCTTCTGTTCCTCACCTCAACCAAAGGGCAGCTTTCCAGTCTCCCAGATGCATCCCAGTCTGGCTAGCAAAAACCAGAGGTGATCATATCTTCTTTTCTACTGGATAATAAGCTTCTGAAGTCAAGGGCTAAATTGTACTCTTTCTCACTTTTTTTTTGTTTGTTTGCCAAGTTGTACTCTTGAACCATACCCTAAACACTCCAATCAGGACAATGAATCCAACAGCCAGGCATTTCTGGATATGTTGAGAGCTTGAAATATTTTTGAGATTTAAGTAATAATCTTCAAAAAAGTGCAAGTTGAAATAGAATGACTTTCTGATAAATTATTGAACATAGATGACTGTCAGAATCCTTAGTTTTAAACACTTCAACTCTGATGCAATAAATATCTGGCAATATTTACATAAATTTATGGCATAGCAAGTAGCCTCCAAAATAGTACTGCAATGAGGAAGGAAAAGTGAATTAGGAGTGAAAATCATACTTATTGGATAGATACTATTATTGGATATTTATTTACTGAAAATTTACCCCCTAGTGTCCTCAGTAAAGTGCTTTGTGCATAGAAGGTACTCCATAAATGGTCATTGTATCAAGAACTTCTGGTGACTCACTATGATTAAATCATGATGTGCAACATGATTTCTCACTTAGGAAAGATTTGAGCATTCAAAAAGCATTGTTTATTGTGAAGATTAAATGAGATGATGCATGTGAAAGTGCTTTGCAAATTGTAAAGCACTATATCTATAAGAGGGATTATTATTTTTATTTAAAGGCAGCTCCAGGAAATGCTTTAGTTTAGACTTTGCAATTAGTCTTAAAAGCTTGAAACTCAACATTCCATCAATTATGGCTGTGGTTTTACTTTTAAGAGTGACAACAGGAACCCACCAGAAGCCTATTAAACACATCCATGTGGCTGCCTGAAGGACAAGAGAAGAAATCTGCTTCCAGTAGATAAATGCTGAGAGAAGTATATGCAATAATTAAAAGGAAATGTTTCATCACAGCATCAGAACTCAATGAACTCAGCCTACCTGCCAACCATTTCCCTTGAATGACATTTCTTTTTTTTTTTTTTTGAGTCGGAGTCTCACTCTGTCACCCAGGCAGGAGTGCAGTGGCACACTCACAGCCACCGCAGCCTCGACCTGCTGGGCATAGGCGATCCTTCCGCCTCAGCCTTCCAAGTACCTAGAACCACAGGAATGCGCCACTATGCCTGGTTAATTTTTAAATTTATTGTAGAGACGAAGTCTCGCCATGTAGCTCAGGCTGGCCTCGAACCCCTAGGCTCAGGCAATCCTCTCACCTCTGTCTCCCAAAGTGCTGGGATTACAGGGGTGAGCTGCTGCAGACGATGACATTTCTTTTTACCGACTTACTAATGAGTCAGAAGAGAGACACAATGGCAGCTGTGATGTAACAAAATGAGTAAATCCAAATGAGTAAATCCAACTCTCTGATGCTGGACCACCCTTCCAGCTCTCTCTCATTGTCATTTTCACCATGCCTCCTTCCAGTCTATCCTGATGTCCTCCTGTGCCCAACGCTTCCTTCTTGGGTCTATGTCCATGTCTGTTGGCTTCTTGTACTTTTATTGCCAGCACTACTTGTCTATACTGACAGTTCTCTAGCAATCTTGTCTGTTTTGTTTCAACCACCCAGAAAAGCCCCAGCAGCCTCTCCATCTGCTTCCATATTCAATGGAAGAATGGAGGCCTTGCTAGAGGAAAATCTTCCACAAAAACTATATGGACTAGCAGGAAGATTCTACCCAATGTCAGCTGGGTCTGCCTTTAGGCCTTCTTCCATTCTACACAACCAACCATCATTTCATGTTCTTATACCTCCTTTCCAGCTCTCCACCACTTCCTGCTACCTTCTTCTTCAAGACAATAGCTTGTTTCAGCCATCTTAGAAAAAACAGAGGTTATAAGCCCTGAGATTCCCAAGAAGTTCCCCAGTCAACATCCCCAACTAGAGAGCGGATGAATTTCCATTCACATCAGTTGTTTTACTTTTCTGAGTTGAGCGGGGTCAAAGATGTCTTTTCTTTGGCTCGTGCATCAATGCTGTCCTGATTCAGTAGCCAGCATGTCATCAAATTGGTCTCCTCCTCCCAGTGGCAAGTCCTTCCAATCATCCCTGTGTCCACCTTCCCGTCTGCGCCCTTCCTTTGGATGCATCTCGACTGGCTCTCTCTTGGCTCTCTTCATCTTTGGGTCCCAGCTCAAATACCAATGATCACAGATACCTCTACCATCTACTCAAACTAGGCGGCCTCTCCCTCACCCAATGCCGTTTCCTAGCATATCACCCTACTTTGTCTTTGGAGCACCTACCACAATGTCTGATCAGTTCACTTTTGGTTTTTATTTTTTAAAATTTACCTGTTCAATGTCTAACTTATCCATGAGACTTGTTAAGTTCCAGGAGGGTAAAGAACTTGCTGTGGCTCTTCCTCTGTAGCAGGACTGTCTTCCTCATCTCCTTCCTGTTTGCTATTCTAGAACACCAACAAAACACTGATCGCATTGCCTACAAGCTACTTTGAGGTCTATATGCCAATGGTGCCAGGGTCTTGGCGAAGCCCTTCCTGAAGCACAAGGTGAGAAGTGCCCCTGGAGTGCAGGTGATGGTTAGAGACCAGAGGAGACGCTGGATCCTTAGCTGCAGTTAGATGCATGGCCTCAAGGTCGTGAGAGAAATGGCTCAACCGGCATAGGGCTGACTGTACCCAGGAAATGTCCTTCCTGCCTTTTTCTGTTCAGCCACCAGCTCCAACTCCTATCTTAGCCAAGAGGCAACCAGCAAAACCCAGGAATTGCAGCAAAGAGCCACTATGTCCCTCCTTCCCTCAGACCTCTGAAATTCTTCAAAGAAAGAAGTTATAGCATTTTCTGGGGCGAGGGAGGTGGTGTCTCTAAGCTGTGCATTCACGTTTAAGTCAAGAGCTCTTATCTTCCTCCAGGTCTCCAGGTGGCTATGGTAAGATGACCAACCTCTCTCTCTTCTCTTTCCCTGGATTCCATAATGTCTCTTTATAGCAACAGGCATCTCTGATGATTTTTGAGAAATTGAAATCTTGGCCTACCCCATCTGAAGAACCATTTCCTCCTCCTGAGCACATGAATTTGCTTCTTCTCTACAGTGGTAACACCTAGACTAAGAGTCTGACTCAGGAGAGGTGTTGCTTGTTTTCTCTCCTAAGTGGTCCCTCCCAAGCCCTGGGCTAGTCCCATGCAGAAGGCCTCCTGCAGGACTCAACAAGATCCTTCTTCCGATGGCTTCAGGTATTCTGTAGGATACTTTTTCAAATAGGATTCATATCAATTTAACTAAACAATCTAGATACTTCATCACCACTTCACACACAACATGGTGAAGACAGAGCTTATTTCCACCCACCCCCACAATCCCCCATATTCCAAGCTCTCACTCATCATGTCTGGCACTCCACAGAACAAAAACCAGCCTGCAGCTATACTCTGTCCTTTGTTACTCGCATCCAATTTTGTAGAAGAGCTGTCTGGTTCTTCATTTTATATTTAATCTACACTTTAACCTCGACCCCTGCCATAAATTTATAAATTGGACCCTAATCTTGGAGCAGGACTCCAACAATTTTTCCCTCCCACTGTCACTAGAACTCCAGGACCACTCCTTTAACGTTCAAGTTAAATGATGTGGAGGGTATGGTAACTTCAATATCTTGCTTTTTGAAAAACAGGCAATGGCTCCCTGCCATTCAAATGATACATTTTTATTTTCCAGGCTGCGATTTACTTGTCTGATAACCTTATTTTTCACTACTAAACTGTCTCTCTCCACTCTGCCTAGGCAGATCTTATTACCTCTTTAATCTAAAATCCCTACTAGCATTATTTCCTAAAGCTAGAATGCCTTTCATATACTTCTCCATTTGTCATAACATTCTAAAAATGTGACTCATGCACACCAAGTAGTCACAATCTCTGGTCAGAGTACGTGTTCCCAATGAAAATACTTGCTACAAGGTGCTTAGAATGTGTCTTTAAGCCACAGTAAACCTGTTGAGCTCTTTTGGAACACAGGTGTGCTCTGACATCACATGCCAGTCCCTCTCTTAACTTCAAGCCCTTTTCTCTGCATGGTGCA